TGAATAATTACAATATCCATAATTTATTTTCTTTTAAAAATATATTTAATAGATAACTTACGCTATTTTGTCTTTCTTGTCTGCCTATTCCCCTGGTTAGACAAAAAAAAGTATATCATAAGTATAAAAATGGGCAAACCACAGCCCAGAGAAGTAAACAAAGCTTCTCCAAGAAAATCAATAGCAAAAATAGGAATAGAACTTAAATGTCATATTTCACCTTTAAGTGAACATTATATAAAATGTCATCTCCTCCTCCAGAACAAAAACAAACCGATAAAAACTGCGAATAGACAGTAATATATCTAATGGTTATTGACTGACTTGTATCTGCCTGGTACTGTGGTACACAAGCTCACTTAATCCTCACAAGACACTTATAATGTTCATATTTTAGTCTCTCTGTGCAGAAGAGGAAATGTAATTTATAACAGCTTAGACACATGTCAAAATTCACACAGCTACTACCTGGCAAGATGGGATTTAATCTCAGGTCCCTCTAACATCAAGTCCAACCTTTAGGCCTCCCCACCATACAGCATCATATTATCCCATCTTGAGGTGCTGTGTAAGAATCTCAACAAGATAAAATAGTGGGGTGATTCAGGGACATTGCTGCTTGGTGACTTCTGCATAGAGACTAATTGTCCTCGATTTAAGCTCTAAGTGAGTGACTCCACCAGTCCTCCAACTGCCCCAAACAGTAAATGATTTCAACCTTGACTTCTCCCTCTTCATCAGCCTTCTTTTGTACATGCAATCAATTACGAATTCAATCAATTTGAATTCTTTAGAATTTCCCATATCTTCACATGTCTCTTTTGCTGCCATCCTAAATCAGGCCACTGTCGCTTCCCTCCTGTTCTGCGGCAAAAGTCTCCTAATTTCTCTCCCGATACTTCATTTCACTGTTTCCCAGCATTCTCCACAAGCGGCCAGAATGATTGATCTTTCTAAACTACATGTATATGTTTGTTTACATTGAAACATGCTTGCCTATGGTATACCATCTATAGTTTACATGATCTCAAAGTCCTTGAGATCTAGTCCCTATATTCTCTTAAATACATTGGAAACTCTAATCATGCTGAAATATATACAAAGCCACAAAAATACAGCGCTCTCATACCTGGATCTCTGCCCATACAATTTCCTGTGCTTGGGACACTCGACTTCTTCTTCACTCACCTATCCTTCAAATCCTTAGTTCAGATATTTTCTCTTCTAGGTAGACTTCATCGGTTATCCATAATTGAGTGAGCCAGCCACTCAGAGTTATTTGCAAGAATATACTATAACTATCAATTCACTATTTTCCACAATATGCTGGGAGCAATTTAAGGAACATCAAGGTCTCATTCTACTTCATAATCTTGTACCCACAGTACCAGGTAGATAGTAGGTATCAAAGAATATTTGTGAAATGCAGGAAGATAGAAACAAATGGAGAAAGAAAGGGAGAAATAAACCAATAAAGGAGAAAGGGGGAGAAAAAGAAAAAAAAGTAGAGGAAGAGCATACATAAGGGACTTTAAGAAAAGGAGGGGGGTGATAGAGGGAAGAAGAAGAAAAAGAGGGAAGAAGGAAAAGAAGAAGGAAGGGAGAAAGAAAAAAGGAAAGGAGAGAGAGTGAGAAGGAGAAAGAAAAGAAGAGCCTATGAAGTTACAGAAAAATGGAGAATATTCACTCTAAACTACTAGTGGAAATTTCTAGGGAGGCTCTAAATGCCATCAGACATTGGGTGGCTGGCCATCTCTCTGGGATTGCAGACATGGTCATAACCAAGGAGTCCCGGTGTTAAAGAAAGTGAAGACTGAAAAGGCCCTTAAAATGACTGAGTTCAACTTCATCTTATGATTCAGCCAAAGAAAGGAGGTGTGGCTTGCTCAATCAGTAGAAAACAAATAAGATACAAGCACAGACTGGAATAATCTCAAAATCCAAGTTCTCTTCACCACAACTATCTTCCCAGAGACAAATGAGTCAATAAAGACAGGAGCAGTATGGTAGCTTAGGGTAGTTGGTCCTCAATTTGGGGCTATGCCTCTGTGTGCTATTTCTTTTCCCTGATGTTTTACTTAATGCAAAGAACTTCACTCTTCAAGGCAGGTAGAAGTAAGGCGAAAGGACTCTGTGATATTCTGAGGTTCTTTCTGCTTGTGCTCCCTGTTACTAATCTTGATCCTCTAATGAGCCCTGAGTTTCTGCTCATGCTTCACTTGTCATGTGTCTTCTTGTCTAGAAGGCCTCTGCTGCCATTTTCACCTTTTGAAATCCTTTGTATCTTTTTGAGGCTTTGTGCAAATGCTTTTCCTCCCCAAGGCCTGCACCAGTGACAGGAAATAATCATTCCATCTTCTCTGCACCATTGGCATTTTGTTCATTTCTTTCTCCGATATGAATTGGCCTATGCCTTTTGGTATAGACTTATGTGCATAGTTTTTCCTCACTAAATGTACACTCCTGTCAGGCTGACTCATTCTTGCTTTATCCTTATCTCCCCTAGCAGATATTAGCATAGTACCTTTTATATGGAATATATGTCATGGTTTTTTAATGTTGAATTGAGCTATGGAAACCATTTTCCAACTCTGAAGCCTATATCATCCTAAAAGATTAACAACACTAGAAATTCATAACACTCCTTTAAAAAATTTTTCTATGAGCAAGCTTTTCTTTAAAGCACTTTTGCGGTGCCAACTTTTGTTCAACAGTTGTTTAAAGTGAGTTGTTAATATGGACTAATGGTAATACATATATATGAGGAAGGAAGCAAGACGAGCAGCATAATTGAGTCAGTGAGTGTCACAACCTTCAAATTTATGGATAATAGTATGATTTCATATGTTGGCCCATAGAAAGAGCAATTATTAAGAGAGATTCATGTCCCTTTAAAAAACTGGCAAATAGATTGTTGGAAGAGAAGGAGCCTCATCTGTTACAGATTCTTTCTTCAAATGTGGAGGCTTCTTGGGAATATTTATGGCAATATATTTCAAGTATTGGAAATGAGGAAGAAGCTAAGAAATACTCACTAGAGCTTGCCCAAGGTTAGCAAGGATTTACTCGAGGTGAATAACCTAGACTACTCATTCCATTCATTTTAGCTAGAAGTGTTCTTGCCCAGAGCAGATGGCAAATTGGTTGGAGGTAGTGAAATAAAAGCAAGAAAGCACTTTAAGTGCCAGGACTCCCAATCTCTCCCAGCAAGGCTTGACCCTTTCGAAACTCCCATTTCTTATCAAGTGAAGTTAGCAGTTTCATTAGCTTAAGCAGATGGATTTTCAAATTGTTTTAGAAAATATTTTAACAATGCTTTTAGATGACATGTTGTATATTTTTAAAAACATAACTTTAGGTCTGCTCAAGTCCAATATATTACTCTGTTATTCACCTATTCCTGACAGTCCAGATTCTGGTAAGCTAGTGGCTGCAGATGTTTTTATCTGCATTTTCTCTGAGCATTGTTCAAAGGGCATTGTCTTCATTCACTGCTTATTATGCATGACCAGATAAAATGCACCAGGTACAGTGGACATCCTTTATAGTAGTTCTATTAAATTTTTCAAAAATATAACTTTTAGCACTAAAGAAGTTTTTATAACTCCATTGGTTCTGAAATGCCATGTAGAAGTCCAAGAAAAATTAAAAGCAAGAAAAAAAATAAATGGCAGAAATAATACACAGCAAAATAGAAAGATTATTACCCTTCATTTCTAACTTCCATTTGAGAGTGGAATAAATAAAATTAGGGGGAAAAGATACCATTGCCCTCAGGTATCTTTCCTAAACTTCGTAGAGGTGACATTATAGCATTTGTTAAATTGTTCCCTTCAGATGTACATACAAGAACATATTGGGTTGCTATATGGTCTTTATTGGAGGTCCTGATATGTTGCTTCTTTTTCTTACCTACACGTTTTGAAACCTTACTAATGAATAGTAGCTGATTTTGATATTTACTCAGTTCTGTCTCTCTCACATTCCAATAGCCATAGGAAATGCTTTTAAACTCCAAAATTACTTCTTTCTGAGCTTCTCCAGTGAGAAAGGTAAAATCTTCAAATGTCAACTACTCACTCATTCTTGCATAACAGTTGGTTCCAGAGAGCAACTCATTTTTAAGAGAGGGTTTCTTAAATCTATATCTACTCCTTGTACCTTGGGACACACTGGAAGATGTGCTTTCCCACAGAATGTCTTCTCCTACTTGGAAACTTCTTAAAATAACATTTTTCTATAGCATACCGATTGAATAGATTTTATATGTCTGGAGTTTTATTACTCAATTTCTTAGACTACCATTCTTTAAGAAAGTCTATCATGCTACTCTTAATCTTGTCATTAAGATTAGCAAATTTATGTTTAAGAAACTGTTGGGGGGTAGTTAGGGGTGGAGGGATTGAGAAAAGACAAGAAAAATTCATGGACACCAACAACAGTGTGGGGATTGCCAAGGAGAGGAGGGTGGAGGGAGGTAAAGAAAGGTACAGGGGGGATAAAAGGTAAAGGAAGGATACTTGACTGGGAGTGGTGAACATGCAATACAGTATACAGATGGTGTATTATAGAATTGTACATCTGAAAGCTGTATAATTTTGTTAACCAGTGTCACTCTAATAAATTCAATAAAAAGGAGAAAAAGAAAGAAAGGTGTCACTGGAATGTTATTTAAATTGGTATATACAGCAATGGAAGAGGTGAATTTCTGGAGGGCTGAGTGACAGAGGTTATATTATTACCCTTTTATAAATTTATCCTTATAAAAAAGAAATTATTCAGTTACGTCATCTGCAAAATGGAATACAACAATACTTACATCATAGATTAGCTGCAAGGATTCAATGAGTTGAAATGTGAAGACTCAGTAAGTAGTAAATAAAGAGTTGATCAGTCCGTGTTGGCAATTATCATTAATCCCAGTGAACACAGTGAGGCAGTGAGACTTTGAGAAAATGTGGAAGGGCTTGGGTGAGAAAAAGAAGTTGCTGGCTTCTTACCTCCAGAGAATCATCGGCATTCACCATCCAACAGTCTGTCCAGGTGGCTACAACCAAGAACCCAGTAGAGAACAGGGCAAAGAAGCAGGCCACGTACTGAAGAAGATCCCTCATCTTCGCGAGCAGCCGGACTGGAAGGGATGCATGGGAAGCTGCCAGCCCTTGACTACTCAGGTAGCTGGAATGCTGTCAATCTCCCGTGCTCCCGGTACCTAGGGGTGTAAAAATACTGGTCTTTTCCTCTTTCTCACACCGCACTGCAGGCGTCTTGAGTTGCAGTAAGAGTTAAAGAAACAGGCTGTAACCCACAGAGGGGTCCTGGAGGTCATTATCCGAAACAACCAGCCTCCAATCAGAAACCGGGTCAGTGAAAGGGCCGGGTATGTTCTGTGTGCAGGAGCAAAGGAGCCCTGGTTATGTTTTCCGCCCAGACCGTGAGATGATGGTTGATGGTTACCAAGGTATTTTCAGCACCAAGATGGAGAGAAGGAAGAAGGGTCCTACCCCATGCTGACGCCTGTAAACTGATCTTTCTCAGGCCCTCCAGGGAAAGTGAGCTATTCTCCCCCCCTCCCTAAGGAGGCTACACGGTTGACTGAGTGCTATTTTATTATAGGACTATTTTAATATTCGCCGACTACCTTAGACAGACAGGCTACGGGTGAAACTATGCCAAACAAGTGCTTGCTCAAGGGAGTTTGCATTCCAAAGTATTGGACAGAACAGCCCCATGAGGGGTTTTCAGCATCTGGGCCCCAGGTAGAGCCACCGCTCCTAACCTCTCCTAACCTCTCCTAACCTTTCGGCATCATAGAGTGGGAAGGAGAGTGCATTTTTAACCAGGCAGCTCTGGGTGGAAATCCTTGCTCTGAATCTTATAGGGTGAGGGCACTTAGGTTGCAATTTCTATAAAATGGGAGTGTTAATACTTTCTTCGTAAGATGTTTGTGAAAATTAAATGACAATTTAACTCTAAATCATTTAGAATAGTATCTGACAAAATAGCTGAACAATAAATATTAATATGACCAAGAATTCTCTATATGATTACTTTTCTTCCAACCACACACCTGTTTATGTTAGGAAATTACATAGACCGACATATCAAAGTGGGTTTATATATTATATATAATAACAATGGCAACTGTAGTTTTATCTACAGCTGAATGGGTAGCCTTCTTGGGTATAGATATTCCATAACTAGTAGTCTTTTAGAAATTTTAAAAATACGTAAAAGAACATATGAACCATTATTTTATCTTCATCAGATAGACTATAGTAAAATACAAATTTCAGTGATAATAATAAAAATATTTTACATGCCTCTTAATGCAAGAAAGAATGAGAAAATTGGGAGAGGGCTTGAAAAAAAAAGAGAAACAGGAATAAGAATTAGAAATCAGTCATTACTCTGAAAATTAGCTGCTAAGTTACTTTAGTACCAGTGAATAAAGAAATTACTTTTTTTCCTATTTAATAAAGATTTGGTCATAGTGTAGGGTAAAAGGCTAAAATCAGTATTGATTCAATATCCTTCAATAATATTTTAAATAGTAAATTTTGTGACTAAAATTTATAATTTTATCATTTTAATTCATGTGTATTATAATATACAAAAGGTGAATATAAATGTAAAATTAATCTAAAAGCTGGATTTAAACCCATATTTGGAATATAAACCCAATTGTTACCATAAATAAGGTTGTACGTGTTGAGTTGATATCATTATTAGTTTATGAAGCACATTAAAGAAGCTATTAATTTTGCTTATTTGATTTATTTTACTTAACAATTGGGAAAATACTTATTTTTAAAAGTGCTCATTCAAATAACGTAAGTCAGCTACAATGCACACATACTGCTCTGGTGACTCACAAATGAATCTCTTCCTGTGCCCTGAAATCTAAAATGCTCATGCTCTATTCATCTGGGAGAGGAAACTCATTCCAAAAGCACATGCCCATTACAGGCAAAGTCCTGGACTTAGATGCTAGCTTTCCACCCAGGGACCTTTCACAATGTACTTTTCCTGCTAACAGTGTACCCCAGGGCAATTGTTCTTAAACTTGAGTACACACTGGAATCTCCAAAGCCATTTGGATAAATGTACCTGGGAGTTCAACCCTCAGAGATTTGGACTTAGGAAATTGGGATGGAGGCCAGGAATTCACATTTATACATGTCTTATATAAAATTCTGGTTCTGAAACAGGTGACCATGCTTTGAGAAGCTAAGAAGAAGAAAAGAAAAATCCCCATTAAAACCAGCATATTATTTTTCAGAGTCATATACTACAAATCACAGACAAAGCTGTGTGAAGAGGGATATCAGAATTACATCTTTGGTAAAAAAAAACAAACCAAAAAAAAAAAAAAATGTCTTCCCTATACAGTATCAAAGCACATCATAGTCCCAGCCAGTTTGGCTCAGTGGATAAAGCGTCGGCCCACAGACTGAAGGGTCCTGGGTTTGATTCCAGTCAAGGGCATGTACATCGGTTGCAGGCTTGATCCCCGGGCCCTGGTCAGGGCAAGTGCAGGAGGCAGCAAATCAATGTCTCTCTCACATTGATCTGTCTCTTCCCGTCCCTTCCACTCTCTATAAAAATCAACGGAAAAATATCCTCGGATGAGGATTAACAAAAAAATAAATAAAAATAGAAAAATATATAAAAAGCACATCCCAAATCCAAATCCCAGAACTTAGTGGAGAGGATTAAGGAAAGGAAAAGACACTGAGCATGCACATGCATTATGCATGCAAACATACACATGTGCACACTAACCAATGAAAATCAGAGATCTGTCACAAGGAAGATATAGACTGCAACAGATTTATGCCATTTCCAACTATGTCCCGGGCATTGTATGTGGTTGAAGGTAGTGGTGGTGGTGGGTGGGTAGTGTATATGAGGCTCTAAAACTGTTTCTGAGTCTAAGTTTACCACTTTTTAGAGAATAGCATAAAACAATCATGTTTAAATGTTAATTTCTGTGAGTGAGGCCATAATATGAAATGAGATCCAAGACAGGAGAGCCATGCAGACTAACAGAGCAGGAAGGACTTCATGGATGTTATTCGGGGGAGGGTACTTATAAGAAGAGATAAATATGCAGGGAGCTGTGAGAATGGAGGGGATGGATGCAGAATAAATCACTCACAAGTCTATACAAACAACTCTCTCTCACTGTTCTGCCCATTTTCTAGCTTCCACTATTTACCTTTATCAACTCAATCCTAGTCTTGTTTCATTCCATTCAGAGCATATGCTGACCTAGTACCATACTAGGTCCTGGGGGCACAGAGGAAATAGATTGTGGAGACCTGGTCCCTGTCCTTGAGAAGCTGCAGTGGGGGGACCAGAGCCAGGCTCATGGTCTGAAGTGAAGAGCATCATTCAGGAACTCTGATTCCAGCCTGAAGTTATAGTAGCACTCCCTATAAGAGTATACAGATATTAGACAGAAATAGGCATGGTTTCCCAATGTAGAATAAACACAAAGGATAATGACCACCATGCCTACGGCTCAATCGTGTTTACAAAGTATTGTCTGGTGTATTATCTCATCTAAGCTCCATGAAGACAGACAGCTTTGTTTTTTCACCAATGCAATTAAAGCGCTTACGATTCTGCCAGGCACATAGTAGGCTCTCAACAAATACAGGTTGAATTGAATTTAGTCCTCACAGCCCCACATTTTACAGAAGAGGAAGGAATGCTGGACTTACTCTTTTTGATCCACCTAGGGTCCCCCAGGATTAATACAAGGTTGGCAGAAGTGGCTCAATCATCTCTGCAGTGCCAGAGCTCTTTGTTCTGCACAATCCCTATGATGTGTTGGTCGGTTCATAGGAACTGCATTCCCACTCACCCAGGATCTGCACTGTTCCTGGTTGGAACTTTAGAGCCACCTGGTGATGAGGTGAGTGATGCCCTCAACCTGGCACCCTGGATGTTGGTCTATATAAGAAAGGAAGTTAATTATACAACTAGAAACACTGCAATTGTCCCTTTGTCCTGCAGATGGAAGCAACTCTGCATTTTCAATGGTGGAAAACAGCAAATTGCTTTGTATTAACTGTTCTTTCTGCTAGTGTCTCAAACTGTTCCTTCTCTATTCATTATAATAACGAGTCCTTAGAAGAAATATGCTGATCTATACCACATCTTATAACAATCTTCCCACTCCTTTTTAATTGCCCAGTGCCTGTTGGAAAAACCTAAGCAATATCATCAGTTGCTGTTGTCAAAGGTCATCCTGACTGTGACTAATAGCAAATAAATCAGTGCTTAAAAGCTTGGATCTCAGAGTCGGGCAGACTCAAGTTCAGCTAAGATATTAATATATGTGAGCTCTTGGCATGCTACTTGTCTTGTATGAGAATTACAGATTCTGTGTAAGGTGGCTGTGAAAAATAACATCTGTAAAGGTCTTAATACATTACCTGGAAAATAATAAATAATCAATAAATTATAGTGATTATCTTTTTTATGTTACAACCTTGCTCTTCTACAGATGCACCATATATATATATATATATATATATATATATATATATATATATATGTATATACACATGAATGTATATAGTATATGTATGTATAAGCATATTTGTATGCCTATCTATTCATACACATGGACATATGTGTGATATGTATGTGTATGTGATATATATTATATATAAATATATATGTGTAGGGAGAAACCAAGATGGCGGCATAGGTAAACACTGGAAATTGCTGCCTCGCACAACTACAGTGGGGCCTTGACTTAAGAGTTTAATTCGTTCTGAGACTGAGCTTGTTAAGGAGCTCGTTAAGGAGCTCGTTAACTCAAATTACTCTGTCAACTCAATGCAAAAAATCAGCTGAGAGACAGCTGGTATCTCAAAAAACTCGTTAGTCGGGACACTCATAAGTCAAGGCCCCACTGTACTTAAAAAATACAACTAAAAGACAAAACGGATATCATCCAGAAGCACAGGAAAGCTGGCTAAGTGGAAATTCTACAACTACAAGGAAAGAGAAAAGCACACTGAGACTCAGAGGATGTGCGGAAGTAAAGTGCAGAGATACCAAGGCGCACGTGAAAAGGGCTGGCAACTGAGGACACGGTTGTCTTTTTTCATTCAGGAGGGAGTCTCAAGCTCCCAGCTGCTCTGAACTCTAGTTCCCAGCGGGTCTCTGGGGACCCAGACTCATACGGGGAGAAAATGGACTGTCTGGCATTGATTGGAACTCGAGGGCGGCTTTCTCTCAGAGGTGATTGTGGCAATTACCGGGACAGTGAGATGCGGGGCCTCTTATGGTAGGACTGAGGATCAGCCATAGCTGTTTGCTTTACCCTGCTGATTCCCTGAGACCCCGCCCCACCCAAGCTGTGCCTAGCAGAGGCTTTTGCATATGAAAGGCCTGGCCCTTTGCAATCTGAAAATTACCTAACAAACTGCAGCTGGGTCAGAGAGACCTAGAACTTCCAAAAGAAGGCCTGAAACCC